ACTGAGCATCTTTCTCTTTGACACCATGTCTGAAATCCCACGTGATCTGTCAAATACTAATGCATGAAAATCCTAACCTCAAAAAAATCACCCGTTAAATAGATTCGGAATACGTGTGAGCATTAAATCTATATACATCTAAGACCGTGCCAAAAGGTGTGACCGAACTAGAAAGGAATAGAAAAAGAATTGTCGCAACACAGCTGGAAAAAAAGCTTGTAAAAATGCTTTGTAAGTACATATACTCGCAAATGTTACTCATACGCCATGGCAGCCGAAAACATATCCAACCAAGCACTGCTGCTGAGAAGTAATTAAAGAGCCGCTCGAAAGTGCCAAAAATGAGGGACTAAAAAAAATTTGCTAAAAAGAACGCTTTTTTCATGCTGAGCGTTGGTTTCGTTCTCACAAAAAAAAAACTGAGCTTTTATGTGCTTTTCCTTGTTCCGTAGGCTAATACACTTGTCACGCAGTGCTTGCAACTTTTCAAAGTCACTTTTTATGTGCAAATGCTGCCAATCCCCTACACACAAATAAAATGAGCAGCTGCGGACTAAGCACACTACCAGGTGTGCGCACAGCAGTTTGACAAATAAATTCGCGTACGTGTGTGAGCGCCGTGTTATAGCTTTAGCTGCTTTGAAGTTGTCAATGTGTGAGTGCTAAATTATTTATTTGACTGCCGAAAAATGGGCGAAAAATAGCAGCAGTGAAGTGGGTAAAAAGAAAAAAAATGCTAAGCACAAAGCAAAATAGTTTTGACAAAGAAAAAACGCCAAACAAAATACAAAGCCCAACTGCGACATGTGCCTAACTGAGCATGAAGGAGAGCAAGCTAAAAGGTGGCGCAAAATGCCCAGAAAGGATTTCAAAGGCATAAAATTCAAACACAAGCATTTCAGCTTGAAAGAAAAGTGGCGCAAAAGGTATTGAGTCACGGAAAAGCAAAAGAAAAAATATTACTCCTACATGCGAACACACATTCAATAGCTTAAATTGACAGGTGTCGCAGCCGCGCTTTTAACAGCGTCAAGTAAAAAGTTTAGTGACACAAGCGACAAGCACGCAAATGCCTTAAAACAACATACCGAATCGTTGACGAGGAAATCGAGCAATGTTGCATGCAACAAAAAATAAATAACAAAAACAAAAAAAAAGCAAAAGAAGAGCGAAATAAAAGAACAGTTCATCGCAAATAATAAGCCGCTGCTTTTGCTCTGAATTGGAGCAGTACATAGGCCTAATTTTTTAGTTGTTGTTTGTCATCTGCCTGGAAGGTAAATAAATTTATTCACAAATGAAATATTGCAAACAAACTAAGTAATAAAAGTGTCAATGTAAAAATTTAATATTGTTATGAACCATTGCCAAAATTATTTTGTATGTGAATATGTTTTTATTCATAACTCTGTCAGAAGTGAGCGTAAGTAAAGTACTTAATAATTTATGTGCACACAAGTGAATGAGTGAATAAAGTATTCATAAAGTGAGCATGTGTATTTGGCGGGCAGTTATAATATTAACAAAGAGGCATTCAAAGTGAATTCGCATATCACTTATACTGATTTTTCACTAAGCATTCGAATGACAGAAAATGTATGTTTTAAAAAAAAAAACATGCGAAAACAGACATAACGATTATTTTTGTTAACGTATTGGCACGGGTATTTTTTAATGAACTTGGTCATTACAAATTCTGCATTTAATACCTATTGGAAATTAGCCATTACCCGGGGACGGATTTTATGGAAATTGCTTTTTTTCTGCTAAAGAGATAGAGTATACTCGATTAAGAATGTCCACGATTTAGCTTTCCCAGATTCCATATATACACATTTGATTCTGCCTTTTTATGCCTTTTTTAAGATATTTGTCTTTTCTACCTTTAGAAAGTGATTATAGGAAAAATCCCTTATTCCCGATAATATTAAAGTTTCAAACGTTCCATATTTAAATTGGGTGTCACTTGTATCAACTCACGTCGAGCGCACGTTTAGTACAATCAAGGCTTTTCTTCGCGAGAATCGATTGAAAATGTTGCCAGAAAACTTAAAAATGCATTTTGTGGTTCAATGTTTCTGCAACTATAGAGACTGAAGTTTTGTAAGTTAAAAACTCGAAAGGAGAAAATAGTCAAAGTTTTAAAACAAAAATTTTTCATATAATGAAACTAGTTCATATTTTTTTGATTATTTTTCGGTTTTTGTCTTTCTTAGGCACTCCGCACATTACGCGCCTAATCTTAGTAGAGTAATCGTTTCGACATGCCGAAACGAATGCATGACGACTCCACTTCTGCACACTACCGCGCCCTGCATAAGCCCTTGAGGCACACATATACCACACATTATATATTTTCTGGCCGTTCTTTCTCAATGATACACTTCTGCGAACATTTCTGCAGAAAAATATTGCATAAAGGCTTATAGTTTAGTAAAATTAGCACGACTTTTAGCACAAAATCATTAATTCTCAATTATTTCCTATTGAAGTGACAAATAATTTTTATTTCCAACACAAAAAAGTAAACAAATGACGATTTCAAAACAGCAAGCGCCTTAGAAAGTTGGGCCCTTCGATTCATGAAGCTTTTATGATTAGGCGAAAACATGATTATGAATTGTGATGTACAGATCATCATTCAAATACATGTGTTCGTAATAAAAGCTTCATACTTTAGTATGCCGAAACGATTACACTGCTATGATTAGGCGCTTAATGTGCGGATTGCCTTCGTGTCTTCTTTTGCCTTTTTTGTGATTTTTAGTGCCTTTTCGTGCCTATTTCGCAATTTTATTTTGCCTTTTCCAGCCTATTTCGTTGTTTTATTTTGCTTTTTCCAGCCTATTTCATTATTTTATTTTGCCTTTTTTATAGGTTTTTAGGTCCTAAAAATCCGTTCCAGGGCTTGAACCCAGGCCCTTCGGAGTGGAAGCGCGCACTGCTTACCGCTACACCACAGCCTCTAAGAATCGAGTGATATTTTTGATAATCATTACTGGCATTTTCTTATTAAGATAAAGGAAGGAATAATCAATACATTAATCTTATGAGCGACTTGTTAACCTAAATAAAATTTATAAGTTTTAATAATTCCACCTTCATACTAGAGAATAAGCATGATCCCAGTTGTCGGAATCGTCTCTGCACTTGCAGCAGTTTTTGCAGAAAAACCTCGGTGGTATTTGCCATCTTTAGAGCATTGTTGCAATTGCGCAGTGCGATGTGAAGACGCCGATAAGAACTCCTAACCACCACTATAATGACTTTCAGACATCACAATCATGCCGTCTCCCCTAACTTCACAATCATACTCGTAAAATGTCCCTAATTTTATTACTTTGATTCACATCCCTAGGGACGAAGGTAGTGACTTTTGCCGACTGAAATTGTGGTTTTAAGCAGTATAATTCTCAGTAGTCTTCTGGCGGAAGGTAATACTGACTGAGCAGCAGGTCCTCCGAGTAGAGACTGTCGCAGGTCACTAACATCATCTTTGCACCATAACCGTAAATGGATATACCATAAACTACCACATGTAGGCTTTTCTCTCAATCTTCTCTAGTACCAAATCGGCGTAATTTTATACGGTTTTAGTTTCAAAGTCTACTTTGGTTGCCTTCAGCCGGCCTCTTCTAATTTAACACAGTATCGGCGTGTTTCTAAAGTTGGCTGGCTTCCCGAAATCTGACCGTTAAAAAGACGTAAGCTAAATTTTTTTTTGAATTATCTTTTTGAAGCAGAAATGGTCCTAGAGCAACTGGATGCATTCCTGTATCAAAAACAAAATTAAACAAAAAATTTCAATTACGTCTTTTTGACGGTTAGGGCTCGACATGTGTACCGTAATTCCCGATTGGTTCCAAAGGCCCTTTTATAGGTTTAGTAAGCCTGATACCCGCCTTTTTGACAATCGTTCTCCATTTAAGTTACTCGCTTATTGCTGACCCGAATTTTACGAAATCTTCGGTACAGTCAACAAAGTAATTCCTCCATAGTTTCATTTTTTGTTACATTGGAATATTCCATTACTAATATTTTATTTTCATTCATTCGTCTAGTTTCGTGCCTATAGTCCTTTACTAATTTTGTGATTTGAAATAACGAGCAACGCAACCACCACAATTTGAACTCATTTGCTATGCGAACTGTTCCAAGGAGCATTAGGATTGTTGTCCAGCATATTTTCGCAAGCCAATTTAGTGTGAGTTCGGTTTGTTAGGTCGAGGAGAAACTTAACTTTAACAGCTAATAGCAAAAAACAAACACATATACATACATACGCATATGCTAGATACTTACCAAATGGGAGGAGTGAGTATGTTGTAGCTATTGGGGCCACTTTACATACTTTAGTATTTATGAAACTAAAAATGCATTAAAGTTGTAAATATTTACAAACATATATTTTCAGCAGTCAACAAAGTATAAATGTAAATATGTATGTCACAACCTGCTATGCCACAGCTGCTATTGAGGTTATGTTGTATGCCTCAGGGATATAAACTCAATGCAATATTATGAAAGGCATTGAGGTGTGAGTGACCAGCCGGGCGTATGAGTAACATGAACAAGCACCACTTTAGCGTTGCGTAGCAAGCTAAGGAGCGTAGAATATTGTACCTTTTTGCTTTTAATATTTTTTAGATGCAAAAAATGATAAGTGATGCTTGAAAAGAGGTTTTTAAAGAATAAATTACATATATTTTTCATAATGTTGGAAGGGTGTTTGTATGAATAGGAAAATAGCTGCTAAGTATTAGAAACTCGCCACATAGAAGCACTTAAATACTTAATAAAGTCCATTTTAGGTAGCAACACGTGTGTAAAATTGGTGCTGCATATAAGGGTGCTACATATTTGCATAAGTAGCACTTAAAAATATTTAATAAATAGCTCGCATATTTCACTTCCACTTATTTATTTATTTATTTATGAGCATACATATTAGATTATCATAATTTACTCATTTCTCCCCTTTTTCTTTTCTTTCTTCCTTTAGTATGGTGAACTTTCGCTCACCACCAATCCCGCCTACAGCCTCTACAATACACCACAACGCGCGCCTGCTGCCCAACGCCCAGTCTATACCGCGCCACCACCACTACTCTCCACACGCACTCCACCCAACATTTACACGCGCATACCCGGTCGCTCTTACCTGCCCGCCTATGAGACGCGCACCTCACCCACCTCCCCCTATGGGTCGACAACCACTTGCACCATGCCACTACTGGGCGGTCAATCGAACGGCTCCTTGCAGACGAATAGCAGCACACAGGGCAGCTGCTCGGGTGGTGTAGGCGCCGCCGGTGTTTGCGGCAGTCTTACTAGCAACGCTAGCAGCGGCATGCATTGTAATACACTACCCCATCCAGGCGCCTTGCAGCATCACGCCTCGATGGCGGCCGCAGTCGCAGCGATGGCTTCGATGGCAACAAATGGTATACCAACCGCGCTCACCTCATCGATGACATCGGGGAATATTAGTCTCGCCGCAACACAAACGCTGCTCACCTCACCGCGCACGCACAATGCAGCGACCGGTGGCGGCATGGGTGCGCTGTCGCTAAGTGGCATAAATATGGGCACGGGTGCGGTAGCGGGTGCCGGTGTGGGTACGTGTGCGGGTGTTGGCATGGATACGACAGCAATGTCGTCCGCTACAACAACGTCAGCCGGCACACCGCTGCTCAACTCATCATCAGCGCTGCTGGGTAGCGGCAACTATGAGACAGTGGGCTCATGAGAATTACCGAAAGAGGACATTAAGTGTCAGTTTGTATGCATCGGTGGGAGCAGTACGTGTACGAGCAACACGGAGCGCACCACAATCGTCTAGTGTGACAATCGCTAGGAAGGGGAGCCGGCAGGAGGAGGAGCTGATGCCAAAATTGGCGCATTGTGTAAAAACTTGTAATTTAAATATTTAGTAAGTGAGTATGTTTATTTTAAGCATTTCGTTTAAAATTTTTTCGCTAAAAAGTTACAAATCAATGCTGAGTTGCGGAATTGAAAATTTCGTTGTATTCGCTTAACGCTACCTAAGGTAAAAGCCGGCAAGCTTAATTCAGGCATTTTCAAAAGAAAATATAACAATTTCTAATTTTTACGAATATTTTAAATTAAGAAAAAATAAATGTCTATTTTTGAAATATTTTTTTTCTTCATATACATATAATTTTTCGGCATAGTGGCATGAGTATGTATTACGATTATATTTTCTGAAAATAGCCTGAGAAGATTTCTAATTTTTAAGTCAAGGTGAACAAAAAACAACAAGACTTCCAAACGAAATAAATCGTGAAGCGCTGGTGGAACTGGCAGCCATGTTGTATGTATGTATTGTAGTCCATGTAGAGTAATTCACTTAGAATTAGTTAGTATACGAAATTAGGCTTAAAAAATGAAAAAGTAAAAAATAAGGCATAAAATGAAGTACCTACGCGCAAAACTTAATTAGTTTGTATCATAAGTATATACAAATATGTTACTAAATACAGGGTCCTGAAGATGAATAGGCACACGACAATTTAACCGGTTTCGGTTAGTTTTCCTTTGCTAATTCAGTGTTTATTATTTTTTTATGTTCAAATTTTTAACTTTGTACAAAAATTAAGAAAATTCAACGAAGTTGCATCAAAATTTCAAACTTGTTTTATCACAGTGCACAGAAAACAAAAATCAATCTGGAAACTTGCCTTTTACATACAAAAATATAATGGGCTACGTAACTAGAAACTAGAATTAAAAAAATCTGAATAAAAAGTTTGAAATTTTGATGAACAAATGTAGAAATTCGTCGAATTTCATTAAAAAAAATAAAATAAAGAAAAGAAAAGAGGGAAAAACTTGTTAAAATGTCGCGTGCCTATTTCTTTTCCCGCCACCGTATATAGCACCGAAAACTTAGACAAAACGAGTGAATCCACACCTCACAGTGATTAATATTGCGCAACATGAACTTTGTGTGCAGTATGTACATATATAAGTATTTCCTCAAAAGCACATGCTTCCAAAAACAGCAAAAAAAAGTTTTCAACCTCTGATCGATTTTTGAATCTCAAGTGTCGTTCTCTAGTGAATGCCCAACCTTAAAAAAATTTAGAACTCTTACCCTATCAGATTGAATCGTCGTTTGAGAACTGGCTTTCTTCTAAAATTGCTAAATTATTTTCCAGTACAAAGAACTGTAGCTCATGGAAAGTCTATTAAGTCAGTTGGTTTCATTGCTTTTTAAGATACAAAGTAGCCAGACCTCACTCAGCACTCACGATAGAAGCGATGGTCGCTTTCTTTGCCAAATATTCGATGTAACAACTTTCGCGTTCGGTAGGAAATGGCAAATCGTCGAGTGTATTTCTCTCATGGGTAAGCTGCTCATAAAAGCCATCTGTTGTTCGGAGGTGGCCTAAAACTGGAAGTCCCACACTTTTGTGTGACAGCATCAAGGCGCAAAAGCTCAGCCAAAAACTTAGGAAATTTTTAATTTCTGGGCTAGTTTAGATTTGGCAACTAGAGGTAGTACTTAATTGCACAACTCTACTTACGGCATTCAGTGCCTCAGCCACTTGAGGTTTCAAATGGTAGGAAAAATTTCCTATTAAAATTAGTACCTCCGTAGTCAGCGACAACGCACTGTGTGAAAAAATTTCCCTAATAACCAACTGCTGTTCAGAGGCGTCTTACAACTAAAGACATCAACTGGTTTGAGCTGAAGCTCGACCAATAGCTAGCTATAGATATTAGTACTTGCACCAAATTTGTAATTTTTTATATCGACCAGTGGCACATTCAGGCGGTTGAGATCAAACCTAAGCAGCTAGGGAATATTATTCACATTTCGAAACCTTCAACACCCTGACTTCGAGAGGTAATTATAAGCTACCGAGCGCCTAAGAGGCATGAAAACGGTTAGTCATGAAAATATCATATAACACAGTGGTTTCTTAAACATTCAAGCGAATTGCGCTGTAAGAAAATGGGAAGGACCAGCAGCTCTATTTCCACCTGCTGAGGTTGTATGTTGCACCCTTGCGTCATAATAATAAGCAGCATTCGGTTGTACATATGTATATGTATGCATACAGATATGTAAATATTTCAATAACTAGCTGTAAATTTATGACCGCGCTTAGACGCACTCATACATACCAAACTTTAGTTAGCCACAACAAAATAATGAACAAAATTACAATAGAATGGGGAAAGACTTACTTGCGCGAATACTTTGTACTAAATCAATACAAATGTACATTCAAACTAAGTAATATGTGAAAATCAATTAACACAAACTAATTAACTACATGTGTATATTTACGAGACAACAACAAAAAATCATTGTAAAATCAATTGTACTGCATTCTAAAATTAAAAACTAAAAAAAACAGAAGATATTAAATTTCCGAAAAATAGTGTAAACACATATTTAGGGGATACACTAAATGACTTAGGCATCTTAATGTTTTAAAGTCGTAAAATGTTTCAATGTGAAGTAACGGTCGAAATGATAATACGAATTTCGCGGGCATAATAAGAGCTAATGATATATTTTCTATGCGTTTAAAAATATTTTCACTTTAACACTTTACGACTTTAAGACTTTACGACTTTAAAATGTCTTGTGGAACCCCTAATTGAAACTAATCTGCATGTAAAAAACGCCTAGTGTTAAAATACTACAGTAGCTAAATTGAAATTTCTTTAAAATATAATTTGGTTAACTACTTTTTGTAGCAGAAATTTATGGAGTAACGAAATTAAAACAATGAAAAATTTAATTAAAACTTGTACATAAAAAGGCAATTTGAAATATATGTGCAAAACAAAACCAAGCATAAAAACTATATTTAACTAAAAAGCAGTAACTGTAAAATGTAAGTAAATCAAATACTCCTTTCTCCCGCCCACAAAAATTGAAACTCAATGAATTTTTCTACCTACAAAACAAATACAAAAAAAAAAATAAAAAATCTATAAATGGACGAAAATCGCATTTAAAAATTGTTGACTTGTTATGCAAATTCTATATTTATTGCAAATCACAGTTTACCAAATTGTATTGTTTGTGTTTGGATGAAAATAAGTGCTTTTTCTTAAAAGGATTCATATGTATGTCTTAGTAAAAATAACAAAAATTGAAAAATTAAATATTTTAAAGCAAAAGCAAGCAAAAATTTTTTGCACAGTTGCTTGCACATATATATGTACATATGTACATGTGCTTGCAAAGTACCTAAGTGAAAAATTGTAATTCCCCGTCAACCGAAAACGCAACAAGTTTTATTCAGTTTAGGCTTCATTAGTGGCTGAAAAATTGTTATATTTTTTTTTTTAAAGTTAAACTCGTACCTTACTAAAATAAAGTAAAAAGTATTGTATTAAAAAGCGTATTGAGCTTGTATGAGTAATTTAAGTAAAGTGCACAGTTTTTTTTTTGTTTTCGAAATATGTGCGCAATTTCATGCGTCAAATTATAAATTAAGCATTTTCGAATAAGTTTTAAAATTTTTATAAATAATTGTATAAATATTTAAAGCTTCTTGAATTATACGTTGTATTAAATTTTTATATATTTTTATCTTTTTTATTTTGCATCTAAGTACTATTAAACACAATTTTAAGCCAACTTACATATATCTATTCATATAGTTCTTGTTTTTAAGCAAAGAAAAGAAGTATTCTCTATTTTTCCTTTTCAACGAATCCAAAAATATTAATAATAAAAATAAATGTTATTTAAAAAAAAAAAGCGTGATGACAAGATTGCGTTAAGATGAGAAATTATAAACTTACTTTTTTACTTATAACGAAGCAAATAATAATAAATATTAGCATAAATTAAAAACATGAATGGAGCAAGAAATTATTAGATAAATAAAAGTAAAAAAAACCACAAATTAACGAAAATATAAGCCAAAATAAAAAAAAATGTGTTTTATTGTTTAATAAATGGACTGGTTGCAGGTTTCTACAAAATCTTTACCAAATATTTTTTTACAAAATCTGCCCGAAAATTGTTGATCTGGAAGAAATTTGTGACTGTAGTAAATCCAACCGTTGACTGAAAATTGCGCAACAAAATTCAGAAAAATTTTAAAATGAGTCCCTGCTGCTGGCAGTTGGGCGATACTTCGGTTGCAAAAAGGTCGTACGACCGGTGTATTTTGGTCTAAAAATCTTCAGGCGCGAATTTCTCACAAAGTTTTTGTACAATTTTTACGAAAAATTGTGGGTCTATAGAGCATGCCTGGAGCTATCTTCCGAAGGCCTAAAAGTGTTTCTACAGAAAACCTTTATATCAATTTTTAGGGCTGAAATAAAGACTTGAGGCGCGATTTTTCACATTTTTTTCAACCAAATCTGTACTAAATATTTTTTACAAAATTTTTCCGAAAATTGTTGATCGGGAAGAAATTTCTGAATGTAGTAAATCCAACCGATGGCTTAAAGTTGCGCACAAAAATTCAGAAAATTGTGAAAATGAGTCCTTGCTGCTGGCATACTTCGTTCGCAAAAAGTTCGTACGACCGATGCATTTTTGTCTAAAAATCTTCAAGCGCGAATTTCTCATAAATTTTTTGTACAAGTTTTACAACAAATTCTGGGTCTATAGAGCATGCCTGGAGCTATCTTCTGAAGGCCCAACAGTGTTTCTACAGCAAACCCTTATATCGATTTTTTGTCCTGAAAAAAAGACTTGAGGCGCGATTTTTCACATTTTTTTCAACCAAATCTGTACTAAATATTTTTTACAAAATCTGCCCGAAAATTGTTGATCGGGAAGAAATTTCTGACTGTAGTATATCCAACCGATGGCTGAAAGTTGCGCACAAAAATTCAGAAAAATGTGAAAATGAATCCTTGCTGCTGGCAGTTGGGCGATACTTCGATTGCAAAAAGGTCGTACGACCGGTGTATTTTTGTATAAAACTCTTCAAGCGCGAATTTCTCATACAGTTTTTGTACAATTTTTACGAAAAATTGTGGGTCTATAGAGCATGCCTGGAGCTATCTTCCGAAGGCCTAAGAGTGTTTCTACAGCAACCCTTTATATCAATTTTTAGGGCTGAAATAAAGACTTGAGGCGCGTTTTTTTAAATTTTTTCAACCAAAATGGGCGATACTTCGTTCGCAAAAAGGTCGTACGACCGGTGTATTTTTGTCTAAAAATTTTCAAGCGAGAATTTCTCATAAAGTTTTTGTACAATGTTTACAAAAAATTCTGGGTCTATAGAGCATGCCTGGAGCTATCTTCTGAAGACCCAAAAGTGTTTCTACAGCAAACCTTTATGTCGATTTTTTGGGCTGAAAGAAAGACTTGCGGCGCGATTTTTAACATTTTTTTCACCCAAATCTGTACTAAATATTTTTTACAAAATTTGCCCAAAAATTGTTGATCTGGAAGAAATTTCTGACTGTAGTAAATCCAACCGATGGCTGAAAGTTGCGCACAAAAATTCAGAAAAATGTGAAAATGAGTCCTTGCTGCTGGCAGTTGGGCGATACTTCGTTCGCAAAAAGGTCGTACGACCGGTGTATTTTTGTCTAAAAATCTTCAAGCCCGAATTTCTCATAAAGTTTTTGTACAATGTTTACAAAAAATTTTGGGTCTATAGAGCATAACTGGAACTATCTTCTGACGA